AGAGACAAATCAGATATGCACTGTTTCTTGGATGTAATGATCTGAAGTAAATTGTTGACAACTTAAAGCATTTTTAAGAGGGCCAAAAGCAAGATAGTCCAAGGAACTGAAATTGGGACTAAAAGATGGATAATCCACTATCTCATACCAGTTTCCAAAAAGTTTCAACTGTCCTAATAGTGATGTAACGATGTGAATTATCAGGCAGCCAGAGAACTTTGAAGTACTTCAAAGTTTTTGCTTCCTTGGATTATTATTTTTTGGCATCTTTAGATGCTTTAAGAGGTTGTCACTTTTTTACAGATTATGACATTCTCTTGATGTCTAAGAAGTGGTGCAAACCTGACTTATCTCTCAGCTTAACTTTTTTCTGCAAGAATTCAGAAGCTTATGGACTAATGGAGTAATTATGTTGAGAAGCTAGGGAACTATGTAAAAAAAATTACATAAAGGTTTGCTTTGCAAGTAATTTATAAAAAAGTTGATAAGAACTTGCAGATGATTCTGATTTACCCTTATTTATTTGAAAGNCAGCAAGTTATGTAACTTTGTTGGCTGTTATGAGATTTTATTTGAAAAATAACTTTTATATTATAAATTATTATAAAATGGCAAAATGCTTATTTTGAGGGTAGTGATGAGTTTTATAAAATATTGTAAATGCTGATAACAAGTAAAATCTTCAGTAAGTCTAATCCTCACGATCCTGTGATGGCACGACTCTCTCTTGCTCCTCCTCAACCTTTAATCACTAAAACTTAATAGCATTAATGCCAACATTGCTAAACCCTATATATATATATATATATATATATATAGGGTTAATATATATATTAACACATGTTAATAAGAGATGACGCCTAATGCTTACCTCTAGAGCCAAATTGGTTACGTAATTCATTTAGTAATTAGCCTTAAACTAGCCCGATAGATTTTCGGCATACGGTTGGTGTTTAGTTATAGCATTAACGCCCTTTATACATAAGCTATTATGCCAAATTTTAGTTTTTAATTATTTCTACATCCAAATACATTAAATGAAATTGATGCCAGTGAACATGAAATTTTATTATGTTTTATTTTTTTACTTTTTTGGGTTCGTGGGATCTCAATGTCCAGATTTGCAAAAAATCTGGGTCATATTTGACATAATTTCAATACTTTTCCTTGTTATATACTGTATACATAACAGCCGGGAAAGTAAAACAAATGGCTATCAGTGAAAAGTTACTTTATCTGTAATTTTATTTATATAATTGTCTTTTTGATAATTTTCCAAATAATTAAAAATAAAACTATCCAAAAATATATAAAAATTAAAATTATAATTGCTAGTACTTTCAATGAAATTTCATTGTCAGACAAAGATAACAAATATCGTCAATTAAAAGTAATCAATTTGTTCTCTTTGCCTGATTACAGACAATTAAAAACGTTTTATGAGAAAAGTATGTTATAAAAAGATTTTGTATGATTTTCCTAAATAAAAACTTGTTTTTTCTGCAAATAGTTTTTTTAAAGATTATTTTATGTTTGATTAAGATGTCATCTTCAAACCAATATAGTATACAAAGGTTCAATAATGATTAAAAGTACTTGACCTATAAAATGGCAACTATGTAGAGACTTAAAAAAAAATCCTGAACTAAAATTTCCTAATTGGCAACCATTGCCAATTGGGAAATTTTAGTTCAGGATTTTTTCTTTCTTGTTGCCAAAATGCCATCAAAAATAGCCAAACTGATGATTTTTCACTCAATATTTTGAAAAATATATAGTGTGTTATAAATGAAATAGTAAACTTTTATAGAGATATATTAAAAATATTCTATGATAAACATCACAGACAAATCATCTGAAAAGTCTCTTATGAAAAGCATACACAGCAGCTTATATGAAAATTTTACTTCATCAAGAATGAAAATAGTTGTTAGTTGCAAATATATGTACAAAATATTTCAAGTTTTAGGAAAATTCCTGAGTCTTGAGTTCATTTTTTCTGACAGGGAGAGGACCAGACATTCGGGTATCCGATTTGAATGAAACTTGGTGAGCATATAATTCTAAACACAAATAGCTCTTTATCAAAATAATAGGATCCACTTCTCAAGCATTTCCAAAAAAACAGGCCTCTGAAAATTGAGTGTTTAGCTTTAAAAAGTCTCGAGTCTTTTAAAAGAAGTGAAGCTTTTCAATGACTTTTAAGTTTTCGGAAAGCTTTTCTTCTTTTTGAAAGCATGTTTAAAGATTATAAAGCTTATACTTGTAAAAAGATATTTTTGCTCATGGTTACATACTATGACAACACAAGCAAATAAGCTTCAGACATTACTGCAGATGGACAAAAAAGACCAGTTTGATATGAAAATAGGGTTTCATAGTTGCAGTGTTTTTTTAGTTGTTAATATTATGGACAATGTTTGTTACACCTTCAAATATAACAATACCACCTTATCTAAAAATTAATGTGAAGAAATAAAAATTTTATTTTAATCTCATACAACAGTTAAATCTACAAAGATTTCATTTTTGCTAAACAGGAAATGACTTCATGTTTTTTAATCTCTTGTTTTATAAGCTTTAAATGTGAGGAATAATAATAGTAATAATAATGCTAAAATTGCAAAGGTTTGAGCCTATATAGAGTAGCTCCTGTGCCTAGCTTGTTATCTACTTGGCTATTGCCATTACAAAGAAAAGTGAAACTACTAAAGACTTAAAAGTTAAACACTCAGTTTACAGAGGCTTGTTTTTTTTTTTTTTTTTTTGGAAATGCTTGAGAAGTGGGTCCAAATAATAGGATCCACTTCTGCTGTTTGTTAAAGCTTGCAATTAAGCTGTTTGTTGAAGTTTATGACTATACAAAAATATATACATTTTCAAGTCTGTCTTTTTATCCATTTAACACCCAACCACAGAAGTAACAGTTACAAACAGCTTGAAGAAAAACTTCATTAAAAAGACCAATGACAATAACTAAAAATTCACAAAGTTAAAAACGTTATCAAAGGTCAGTCTTTTACTGGAGGATGTGACGTTTTCACATTAAAAACAAAAGTACAATTTTCTCACCATACTATCAAGTCCTTAGCTTATTTATGACTGGTCTGGCCTTCTAGTGAGAAAATATGGTGAGAAAATTGTACTTTTGTTTTTAATGTAAAAATGTCACATCCTCCAGTAAAAGACTGACCTTTGATATCATTTTTAACTTTGTGAATTTTTAGTTATTGTTATTGGTCTTTTTAATAAAGTTTTTCTTCAAGCTGTTTTTAACTGTTACTTCTGTGGTTGGTGTTAAATGGATAAAAAGATAGACTTGAAAATGTATATATTTTTGTATAGTCATAAACTTCAATATAGAAGATATCCAGAGTTATCAAGTAATCATAATCTGTTTGTGTTTAGGGCTACATGCTCACCAAGTTATGTTTGAATCAGAGATGTGAATGTCTGACCTTCTCCTTGTGAAAAGGAACTTTCAGAAATTTTTCAGGATTCCTGGGAATTGGGTTTTATGTATTTCTGTACCAGAAACTAGAATCTGTTTGACTGGCAGTGAGTCCAAATTTGTATTGAAGTGCTCTTGGCCTAGCTAATTTTCCTATGACGAGGAGTAGCTTGTGTTTGCCAGATGCATTGAACAAGAAAGCAATGTTGTATGTTCCTTTTTAAGTGACCTGTTGCTACATCATTCACTCTAGATGCCAGTGTGGTGCCTGGTAACATCTTGTAGCACTACCCAATCCTATCAGCATTATAAACTTGAAACAGATGTAAATAATTGTTGGCAACAAGCTACACAACAGAACTTTTTTCAGTAAATGCTGAAGCATGCCATGTTTTCATTGTTGTGTAAACTATATGTAAAAGGCTTCGTCAAGGGATTCATTCTTTTCTTTTTTGCTATAGTACAATTACAGTACCTAATCTGGTCTTAAAGATCATTTAAATACAAAAGTCTTAAATTTGAGCCCTGTTCTTTTTTCTAGTTGCAAACAGTTCATGTAACTACTCCATATTCAAGAGCAGTGTTTTTGAGAGGTTTTGGCTTCTAACTTCTTTTCCATTATCACAACCATTTTCTTACATTTAGTTTCCTGCGTGCTGAGGAAATCAGAACAACACAAGGTTAAGTTTATCAGACCACCACCCAGAACAACTACAACTCAGAACATTGTTACCAATTGCAACACTAAATATATTATTTTGCAAATTATTCAGTTAACTTTATTATCCAAACTACTGTTAAATGAATACTGTAATGCAATTACTGTATTTAAAGGTGAATTAATTTACTCAAAATTTAACATAATGCTATGTATATAACCTAGTTTCATGGTACTATAATTGACAGATAATGGTGATTTTCCAGTTACATGGAGAGTTTGATCTTTGTGTATTATTATATTCTATAATATGTACAATACTACATTTTTTTTAATCATTTTGGATAATCAAGTTACAGTAGAAACTTTAAATTTTGTTAATTTCAGCTCTTTCTGTGAATAAATCTTTTCAAATGCTTGTATCATTAATTGCAAGTTTTTATGCTAAAAAGTGTTATCATTTCTTATTAAGTTATTTTGAAATTTTGCACATACACAAGTTCAAATAAAAATTAACACAAATACAACTTGAATACAATTCTCTGTAATACAATTCCACAATTAAATATTTAAGCTAATTGATTTATATTGAAAATATTTTTAATAATGCTTTATCCTTCTAACAAATATTTTCTACTTGGATGTAATAAAATAAAAATATTTTAAAGCAAATCATATACTCACACCTCAACACAAAAACCTTTAAACATGCAGTCTTTTTATAATGTTTTCAGCCAGTTTGAATGGCTTTCTTCAGGAACAGAAAAATCGAATTTGAGAAAGACTATTCAAACTGGCCAAAAATGTTATAAAAAGGCTGCATGTTTAAAGGTTTTTGTGTCAAGGTGTGAGTATTAGAGAGCAAATCATATTTAAATATACTTTTTATAGCTCTATGAAATTGAAGTTACTCTACAGACATTTCATTGGAGAGTTAACCATCGTTACAGTGAATTTCATGAACTACATGATAAGGTAAGATTAATTTGTTTTTTTAATTAATTCAATTTTTATCCTTATCGTCAAATAACTTTTTAATTAGTTTATTAATTATTTTACAAGTATGAGTTAGGAATTTTAATAATGATTTATAAAAAGGCCAACAATTTAAAACAATTTAAACCTAGGAAGTAGCCATTAACTTTGTAAATTAAATATGAAATTATCAACGATGGAAAATTGGCAACATTCCAGTGGTAGATTTTCAATTGCTGGCTATTAGAAAACCAGACCAGTGTTGACGAGATAACCTTAAATATTCAAAATTTGTTGACGATTATAATATTGAATATTCAGATTGGTTGTCCAATGGTTGCAATTTTTCCAACTTTATTATTTGATATCTCTTACACCTATTTATATTAGAATAATTTTGTATTAAGTTTAATATGATTGGAATCATAACTAAATTGCATGAACTTGTTCTTACGTATTATTATTATTAAGGATATATAGATTTAAATTCAATAATGGAGTATCAAGAAAAGTTCATTTGTTTATGTAGCCTGTTTAGCAGAGAATTATTCCACTTTCTATCACGATAGAATATTTTTACCAAAATTATTATAATGTAAAAGTTAGAGTTGATGCAAATTGCTTTTTATTATTGTGAAATTTGTTAAATTTGATAAAACATTTTAAAGAAGAGAAGAAAATGGACACATTGTCAATTAATATAAGGTGTTTTAGTAAAATATATAAACTATTTAAAAAACAAATCTGCAAGAAAATGTTTGAGGATTATTTTGCCTTATGTCTGTTTCTACCATTATTTACGTTATTAATCAATGTGATAAAAATTGACAATCAGAAATTAATTTTTGTTGTGAAATCTTTGTATAATCTTCATATAATTACACATATCCAAAATTATTTAGTTTCATCATATCTTTCATTTATTGAATATTTTCTGTTTAAAATATGATTATGATTTTCTAATGGAATTGCCTACTTGCGATAAATTTTGTAAGTTGGTTTTGATAATAAATTTAATTCAAACCATCTTTATAATTAATAAGATCATATTCATTTTGAATGCCATTTTATTATTGGAAAATTATCACAAAAATAAAGTATTTTGTTTCTGCTACCTGCCTTCTAGGTAAAAAGGATTGTAATAAATCCCAATTAAAGTGGTAAAATTCTAACTTTAATAAATAAATATAAACAATCCTATTTTATTACAAGTAAGTAATAAATTTTGACTTGTTGCAATCACAATATCAGTTTTATATTATATATAATTGTATGTAAAAAATTGGTTATAAAACCTAAATTAGTTGAATCAAAGTGATCCATTCCATACTAAAACAATCTAATTTAAAGCAAATAAAAATAACGGATAGAATGCAGTTTTCTGTTTGAAATGTTATTGTACAATGTAAAATTGACAATAGTTTAGATTAAAAATTAAATAAATTATTAAAGTAAACAGCATTTTAATTGGTTTTATTTAAATGGTTATAATTGGTTATAATTAAATAACATATTTAGTTTCGTATAGCTGACTGTTCAAAACTGTTTTAAACCTCAAAAGACAGAAAAATGAGATTTGAAAACTGATAGTTTTCAGTTTACCTAATTATAATTAATTGATGGATTAAAGGCTGTTGTTTGTTTTATTCTTCTTATCCAGTTTGTCTTCTGTAATTATTATTATTCTATTAAATATTGCATAAAATATTTATATATTGAAATGTAATTTTATATGAGTTAGTTTCTTTAATATATTAACTATTGGGTTTGACATGTTTATATTTGTACAGATACTTTAATAAACAAATTCTTGAATGATATATCTTTTTATTAAATAGTTGTTATAAATTTTTTTCAGCTAACAAGTCAATTTGGCATAGATAAAAATTTATTACCTCCAAAGAAACTGTTTGGAAATCAATCCGAGGTATTCATAAAATGTCGTCAAATGGATCTTCAGCTATATTTACAAAAATTGTTACAGCAGTTTAAAGTTATTCCTTATTTACTGGCAGAATTTCTACATTTTCCAAAATATGTAAGCAATTTTTTTATTTATTTACTTAAAATATATAAAATGTGTGCAAATTTTACAGTATAATAGTGCTTAGTAACTTTGTAAAACAAACATTGTTAATCTAATATAAAAAAATAAGCATTTTAATAAATTATTAAAGTTATTAAATTAATTAATCTAAGAAATTTTATATTATTGCAATAATTTTTTACAAATAATTCACCATTTATCACACCGGAATTACTAAAAAATTTTACACACCTGAACCATTTACGGTGTGATGATGCAAAACTGAAGTTTACTGATGTTTCGCATCATCACACCGTAAATGGTTCAGGTGTGTAAAATTTTTAAATAATTTTTTAAAAATAATTCTTTATATGTATGAAATATGAGGGTTTGGAAAAATTTATTACTAATTTTGTTAAGATGATGATGATTATATGATGATAACTAGATGACTATGTGATAATATAAAATAAATTTTTTACTGAAATAAATAAATGAGCATTTCTGCCAAATCTTTAATGGATAATAATATAAAATTTTAAAAAGATCACAAGTTTCTTAAAATAATCGGTTGTGACAGAAATTTAGCTTTAAAATTACATTAAGGGTTGAATTTACCTAAAAATATAACACAAATGATATGAATTCCCCAAAATATACCTGTAAACCTTAAAGCAGGGGTGGCCAACTTTTGTGTACATAAGATCTACTTTTTATCTTAAAAATATGTCATGGTAGACTTGTTGTCATAGGCATAGTCTAAGTGGCGAAGGAAAAACCGAAATATTATTTTATTAAAAATGACATTGTCGCTGATACCAAAACTGTATATAATGAAAATTCTTGACAAAACTATTACAGCTTTTGACATCAGAATGATTACTTGATGTCCCTGATATCACGACTTTCCATAGAAAAATATATTATGAATGTAAAACGTAGTCGTTGAATGAAGGCTTCATACTTTGTTGTGTTTCTTGTACATCTCTAAAATAAAACAGCAATAATTTGAAAACAATTGATCTACACATGATTGATGGCAGTTTCTGTACAGTGGAACCTTCATTAACAATATACATTGTTAAGGAAGATGTGGAATGTATATAATTTTCTTATTACATTGTTATACAGTGTTAAGGAGCATGAATAATGATCTTTTCTTCTAGTATGGAATGAACCAACCTGGAATGCAAATTTGATTTGCAGAAAACAAAAAAAAAATCTAAATTTAATTTGGAATCAGTCATTAAATTTAATACAAGATGGCAGCATATCTGCCTACTGCTAGTCAAATTATTTAATTTCTAATATTTAATTATTATAGCCTTTACATAGCCCAAGAATTCAGCATATTGTTTGGCTTGTTTATTATATAAAGGACTATAGTTGTTTATGTTTATATGTAATATATCTGAACACAAGTTTGGAAAAATGTGTGATCACAAGCGACACTAAGATGTTAGCGGAATGAGTGCTAAACACAGACTGATTAACATGTGCACAGTCTGGGACTACCCCTCTTCTTGTCACTCATTATGTGAAATGTCGCTCGTTAAATGAGTCATTTTTTTACAATTTGTTTTGCTCATTAAGCGAGGTTCCACTGTATCTGTAAGATTTACAGGTATGTTTTTGAGGATATCACTTTTTTTTTTTTAATGCTTTATAAACAGTTACATTAGTTTCCTCATCTATGATGTATTTATTTTTGGTGGAAGGCCGTAAGATAAAAAATGTTGCATACAGATTATCCATAGTGGAGAAATAAATGGAAAGATAAATTTGAAAATAATTTTTTAAATATATTTCAAATTTTTATTCAGAGAAAGTGGCAAGGGTTTAATTTTTCCAACATGCAGGCAATTATAAAGAAGAAAATTATTTAACAGATTTCAAAATAAGACCTCCAAACCTGTGTTAAGGCATCATTATCCTTAAAGTTTATGGATGTATTTTTCTTATTAGTTTTATATAGTTCTAGTTTCTCCAAGCTCATGCGACATACCTTCTCCCCACTATAATGTATAAGATAGGTGCACGTATCCTTTTACAACACACGATTAACTATAGCAAAAGCTGATAGGACTGTGGTGGTGACTCTGTTCGATAGAATCCTTTTGCTCTTTTCAACAATGTTCAAAGCCACCTGGTTTCTGCTATATATTTCAAACTTGGGCCAATTCTGGTGTCCATGATAGATTTTTGTTATTTGAGTGATTGTTTATTGCTTTGATATCCAGTTTGTTTTTACATTTGACAATTATCTTGACAAATATTTTCTAAATTATTATAAGACTTGCCAACCAAAATATTATCAAAAAGTTTTAAATTGATTATATATAATTAAAAATATGCAAAATGAAACTTAAGTACAGTACAATTTTTATATATATGAGTATGCTTCTACTGTATTTTTGCAGAATAACCGACATGCCGGTCTATCTGGGGAGACCACAAAATCAGATATTTCTGTGGGGGCCGAGGGGGGGAGAAATTTAAAAAACTTTCGACGAACGATAATATGTAATATATATCGTCATCGTCTCCCTTGCCGTTTGGATTGCCGAGTGGTAACAATCAACGACATGTGGAAGCAGTTGAGTCAGAGATAGATGCTTCGTTTACAAACAACACAACTGTTTATTAAACACGAAAGAAGCTTACAAGATTTCCGCGATCTTGGAAGTTCTGCGGCGGCTGCGGCCTCTGGGTCTTCCTCTCCTTTCCAAGATAGTCCCATTTTGAAGGAGTGTCCCTTGTTCGCGAATGAACCATTCCATCACGTCTCGACGACTCCGGGACGATGCGGTCGACTTCCGTTGATGGAAAGATGTCGATCCGAGGTCGGGAGATGGAGACGAAGATGGGTGCGAGACACACACACAACAACAACAGGTTCGTCACTTGGAATTTTCGGGAGAAGAAGCCGTCGTGTCCTCGAATTTCCGGGGTTTTATCCGTTTTCTCTCAGATTCCCCTTTCCGATTGGTCTCCCGTTGTCACCTGATGACAATTCGAAACCTTTCGGGGGCGCAGGAGAGGTCAAAATCGAAGTTTAATTCGATCTCCAACCGGAAATGGTCGACGGACTTACATTCTTCTATTGTTTACAAGTTAACGTCGCGTTTTCATATCATAAAAATCTATTTCTAACTAATATATTTTTTCTCTAAAATAATTATTTTCCGCGAATTTTAGTGAGGGTTCGGACCTGTCCAGAGCCTCATATTTCCTTATGGTAAAATCAGCATGCCAGTTTATTCTGGGAAATGGCAGTTTAAGTAATGTTATCGATCTCCTCTAGAGGGTGCATTTAAAAAAAAGAGCTTTTATTCTAAAACTGTGAAACTGTCAGCATTACAGCAAAACTACAATTATATGTTTTTCTTTATTTTGTCTTCTATCTAACAGTATGTCATGAAACATTGTCAATTACTTTTATGTTCAAATCCAGATAAAGACTTTACTGTTTTGTTAAAAGTTGTATTCATGAAAGTACAAAATGAAGAATGCATTGGTAGTTCCAGAACAGTTGATGTGGAATTGTTTCTAACAGTTTAGAGTTCAAAGCAATTTTGACCAGAACTACTCACCTCTAACTCTGGAACATTTGAAATTAAAATTGCTAGAAGTGGAATGTATAACTTCATATTTGTCCTTTATTGGATATATATTTGAATTTTGAAAAAATTTCATGCGATTTGACTTCATTATTCTGGTTTTATTAAATTTGGGATCATTTATTTACTGAGCTGTCTGTTAGTGATAAAACAACTATTATATGTAATGGAAAAACTAGAGGATTTGCACATGATTTGTTTTGCTCATATTCTACAAAATTGTTCTTATTATTCATTGTTACCACTAAATTATACTGAAAATAATGCAATTACTTTTCCTGTCAGATTTGATATTGATCATATACAAATTCTTCATAGCAATGATCATTGGATTTGCTGTTATTACAACTTATTATCTATACTCTTATTACACAAAATGCATTCATGTATACAATTCTGTAAATTATGGTAAAATAGCTATAGAACTCAAAGTGTTCTTTATGGAGAATATATCCTCATATTAATACTGATGTCTGTGAACTTTCCAAGTACAGCAACAACCAAATAGTCAACTGTGTTGTATATAAGGGATTGTGCTTTTGCTGTTTCCTTAGCATTTGGTGTGAAACTCAATACAATTCAATAAGATCATATATAAATGAGTTTATATTTGTTAAAAATATTTAATTTGTCTAAATTAGAGCATATTCCACATTTAAAGATGCTATGATGTTCAACGTCACAGCAGGCATCAGTGCCAATTCCATCATTTTTTATAAATTTTGTGTTTGAATTTCTGTTCTAGAATGTTTAAGCAATCATCATCAGGTTATTAAAGTGGTTGAAAATGTTAGTTTTCATTAAAAATTTTGCTGAATTTTTGGTATTTGAGTAGTAGTTTATTGATAATTGCCACTTTTGTTATTCTGTTTTCAATTATTTTTGTCTTACATTATCTAAGATGATTTATTATTTATAAAGGTATTTAGCCAAATCTCAATAAAATGTCCTCTTGAGTAGTCAATCCTTATAAACTGCCAATGTATATTTGCAAATGCATCAACCCCATAAATAACCTTTCTGTACCATGAATTACTAAATGGGAAATTTTACATTGCTATTACTAAATCATGTAAATTGCAAACACCAAACACAAACTTGCATGCATATTTCATTACTATAAATATTTCTTATTGTCTGAAGTCCTTCAATATAATTCATTTGATTTAGTGCCAGATTTATACACAAATTTTGAAGGTAAATGGAAGTTTGACTATAGTTTGTAAATTCATTGCAATTTATTGATATTTTTACAGGGTGGGTTTATAAGTAAGATTATAAGCAATTTATTAAATAACTTTTGTTGTTTATTTTGCTTTCTTGAATGCATATACATACATAATGTTTTTAATTTTTTATAATTTTAGTTAAATTTTATATATGAGGTTGAGTCAGAAATTATCTGCAATGTTCTCATAAACTTTATTGCAAAGTAATTGCAAAACAAGCCTTTTCATCATTTTTTATAGTTTCCCAGCTTCTTAACACAATTACTCCATTTTTCCACATGCTTCTGAATCCCTGCAGAAAAGAAAGTTTTACTCTGAGAGACAAATCAGATATGCACTGTTTCTTGGATGTAATGATCTGAAGTAAATTGTTGACAACTTAAAGCATTTTTAAGAGGGCCAAAAGCAAGATAGTCCAAGGAACTGAAATTGGGACTAAAAGATGGATAATCCACTATCTCATACCAGTTTCCAAAAAGTTTCAACTGTCCTAATAGTGATGTAACGATGTGAATTATCAGGCAGCCAGAGAACTTTGAAGTACTTCAAAGTTTTTGCTTCCTTGGATTATTATTTTTTGGCATCTTTAGATGCTTTAAGAGGTTGTCACTTTTTTACAGATTATGACATTCTCTTGATGTCTAAGAAGTGGTGCAAACCTGACTTATCTCTCAGCTTAACTTTTTTCTGCAAGAATTCAGAAGCTTATGGACTAATGGAGTAATTATGTTGAGAAGCTAGGGAACTATGTAAAAAAAATTACATAAAGGTTTGCTTTGCAAGTAATTTATAAAAAAGTTGATAAGAACTTGCAGATGATTCTGATTTACCCTTATTTATTTGAAAGTAAAATAAAATAAATAAATACATTCTAATTTTACATTTTTAGGAAATTCATGGCATCACAGAAAGTTTAGCAGAGAAACTATTTTATGAAGGTAAAATTTATTAATTGTAATTTTAATATAAATTTTATTTTACAGATAGTTATTTCTCGTCTTAAATTTTGAAAATTTGTATTTAGAAAACATTAAATAGAAGAAACTAATTTGAGAAAATTGAGTTACTTGAAAGATTTTTATAAAAGCATTCTAATTGTATTAATTTAATAATAGTACATCACATTTGTTATTTATATCACTGATTTATAGAAATTTTTACATTTAATAATAATCATATATTAAAATATTTTCATAAATAATTGCCTTAATAATAATTATAATAATAATAGTTAATTTTAGTTAACAAAATGTACTAAAAATTTGAAACAGATATTAATTCCAATTAATTATAATTTAATAATTTATTAAGATATCTGATAGACAATGATATTAGTCAGAAAAGAAACCATTTTTATAGCATTTTGTCATTCACATAAATTATTAATCTTTAATATTTTTTTATAATAAAATTATTTGAAAAGGCCACTAGTAATAGTTCTTTTCACGTGATACATAGGTTGCTCAGTTTTGTTCTCTAAGGCTTGATCTGTAGCCTTTCAAAACACTCCTGCATGCTTGATGCATCTTGCCATATGCTGAAATCAGTCATCAAACCACATCTTCCACTTTTATTCTGAGAAATCAGTACATTCTTGATCACACACTGCCAGAAGTTCATTGTCACTGAAAAACACCGTTCTTTGAGATTTTTTTTTTTTACTTCTAGAAATAAGCCAAGGTCATGGGACAGTTATAATCCAAAACAGTTAGTCCAGATGTGACCAAAAAGACAACTGTATCCTTTAATTTGCACTGGAATGTTATTGTGGTGAAAGAGCCATGTGGAACCAGGATCTTGTTTGGAGGTTATGGAGTCACTGAATGGCTTTTGGCAGACATGTTTTGTTCATCAAAAGTTGGGTGTACTAAGAACGAATAATTGTGCTGTTTTTATGGTACAACTCTCTCCACAATACCATGTTTTCTAGAGTGCAGCAATCATTCATTTCTTTGTCAAATATAATTTTTGGATTTCTACTGGAGTTGCTTCATCTTCAAAGAACCAACTTTGCTCTGAGATTTTGTTGGTACACTATAATAATACAAGTTTCATCATCCATTATAATACTGCTAACATCCTTGAATGTCCCAGACTTGGATGTTTAAGCCTTCTTTTTTTTTCCCCACTCTAACCTGTTATTCTTCTGCTTCTCTGTCAGTGAATGGAACACTTAGTGAACAAACATTCCTTAAAATCCTAGGTGCTTGTGCAGAATGTCATTAATGTATGATGCACTAATATGCAATTGTTCTTGAATCTGCAGTAGGTAATACACCTATCCTCACAAAAGTTTCTCTACAGTAGCTACATTTTCTGACATCACTGTTTCCATTGGCTAATCTGAACACTGATTGTCCTCCACACTAAAATCACCACTTTTAAATTGTTTATATCATTGCTTAATGATCTTCAAGGAAGGACAATGTTGCCTCAAAAGAGGAGACATTTCCATAAAACACTTACAATTTTTTATACAATATCAATAAAAATAACAGATAATCAAACAATGTTAGATTTTTGTCATTCACTGTTTTCTAATATTTGCTTGGAAAGTACTAGATGCAGAAACTTTGTTCAGACCCTATTCTCCCTTATTTTTCATGCTCTTTTGATTGATGAAAGATGCATTTTGCTATGACCAATAGAAGATGCAGAGAACAAAACTTTTTCAAGCAATCTGTATCTTTTATAAAAATTTAAATATTTTTATCTACTAAATTGCCAAACGATCGCCTAAATATCGGGCTATTATATGGTTAATTAATTTTAGGCGATCATTTGGCAATGTAGTATATATACTAATCGGGCGTTGAGTGTTGTTATTTATATTATATGGCTACTTAAATGATTAGAATAAAGCAATTTGTCATAAGAGGTAGGCATTAGGTGCCATCTCGTAAGTAAATTAATAATTAAAAATTAATAAATAAATAAATAATTTAATTTAATTTTAGATTTATTCTAATCATTTAAGTAGCCCGATATTTAGGCGATCGTTTGGCAATTTAGTATATATACTATTCAGGCTTTGTGTTGTTGTTATTTATTTTTATCATTGTCATATCCTTAGTCCTAGATATCCAAAAACTGATAATATTCTGTTTCAAGTTTAACTGATCAGAATAAAAAATAGCAAAGATGTGTCTTTGTTTAATGGTTAGACAGATTATCATAGATTCTAATTTGAATGAAACATCATATTTATAGCAATTTTGCTATTATACTATAAATACAGCAAGTACTCACTTCATGTCCTCTCATTATAACTTTGTTGAGAAACTATACATTTGTAATCATTTGCAGTTAGTGTTGTTTAATTTTCTTATAAACAGTAAAACTGATTTTTTGAGGTGAAAAATAAATGCTGGAGGTTGCAAACACAATCCAATTATAATAGTATTAACTGAATTACATCTTGTTTATATCATTTAGCCTATGGTAAAATTGGTTTTGTTACATACTGTTTTGCTTAATGTCACAGTTTCCAAGAACCTATTGATGACATTAAGTGAAGACTTTTTGGTGTTTTCATGATGAATTTTAATAATAATTTATCTGAAACTTTTGCTGATATTATTCCATTACACTTTCTCTTTTTATCTTTCATATATCCACCAGAAAATATTAAATAAGTTGTTAGAGAGTATTGATTATTATACAATGCATTAAAAATTTAAATTCTTAATGTTTCATCCAAAGTTTAGAAATGTAGACATTGATTTAATTATATTCAAATTTATGAATATATTATAAAGGAGACGAACATAATTTCAAAAAATAAAATAATGATTTATATACTTTATAAGTAATTTTCATATTATGAAAGAACAATTGAATTTTAAAACAATGCAAACAGTTAATATTAAATTTATTTAAAACACTTTATAAATTATGATATACCTCATACCTGTAAACTGAAACAGACATGCCTTCCCAGTTATGTTTCCAAATATTAATAATTTTCCACATGGAGAACATGCTAATATATTATACGAATAAAATTCTTTATCTTGAAAAATCTGTTTCCATTTATTATTTTGTAGAGAATATGAAAATAGCATCCTAAAAAAATATAAATATAAAAAGAAATATTAATTATTCAATATGAATATATTTTTTATAATATTCAATTACCAGGTATATATATAAAAATTTATGAAATTAAATCTGATTTATCANCACTCTGACTTTCATTTCATTCATTTTGCTGTTATCTGTAACAAATAATAAAAGCAGGATATACATTATAGGAAATCCCATTTTATGGACATATTTAGCAAAACACACTTAAGAGATTCAAATATAATTTTATTGGCTGTTATGTACAACAGAGGGAAAGTATAATCAGTCAAAAATGATCCCCCCCAAGAATTTTACATTTTTGAACTCTGGAGGGGACCTTGAAATGTTCAGAAATTCATATGAATTGAGAGGTTTTTCTGTATATATAGGTGTTAGTGTTTGTATGGGGGCATGATCTTGTTTACCCAATTTGAAGCTTAATAACTCGTGCCTTTTGTTGAAAATTTCTGAGATTTTGTAAGGTTTGGGTATAGGGCTGTTAAATTTTGATGGTTAAAGATCCAGGGAGTGGTGAGGTAGAGGTGGTCACGTGCCATATATGGAATGGGGTTGAACTTTACGAAGATTTTACTCATTATTAGCATTTGCAATCTATATATATAAAAATGAATGTGTGTGTGTGTGTCCTTCATGCATTACCACATCGTTTATCTGATTGCCGTGAAACTTTGGGAAGTTGTTTAATATACTCCGGCGAAGGTTTGTGGCGTAGTACGATTGCCATTAAGCTTTGGAAAGTTTTTTAATTTTTTAATAAACTCCCGCGAAGTACATTTATCCTACGATAGATGGCGCACGTTTACACGAGCATACGCGCACAGTGTGTTCGATCGATTTCAAATTGTGAAGACCATTTCCCCCCTTCAAAAAATATCTCTATATATGCATTTGTGAACTGTTATTTACGATATTTATAATAATTTTTGTTTAATCACTTTATTTCAACTTTTTTTTGCTAATTATGTATTCGCTCGAACTTCGTTAAAACCTTAACTGTACCCCGAACAACAACCGAAGTTGTAGGAAGAAATTCGCGTATTTTACCGATCTAGGTATCCCCCCTTTTCCAAATTTTAATATCGACTCAAAATAATTTAAAAAGACAAATTACAATAAAACGGTTTATTATCCAACTATCAGAAATTTCACAACATGCCAAGGAAGAGAGGAAGGAGCAATTAAATAATTAAAATTATAAAGGATTAAAATATATATATAAATGGGGAATATCGCGCTTCTGACAATCGCTGCGAGTGTGTGGGCTAAATTTGGAGAATCCGTGCTTCTCGCGTGGACAACTGTACGTGGCCGGCTCATGCGTCGGAAAACCTTCCGATTTATTCGTGTACGCACCAGACGGAGAAACAAAAAATATCATGTATCCATGAGCACTCCAATAAATAAATAGAATTGAAACAACACTTTGAAATGTTTTCCCGATGAAAACGAATAATAATAATAAGTTTCAATAAAAATGATAAAATGAAAATATAATTTTATCATTACGAGTTTGCTTGAATTTCGTTACTTCTGAGATCGCAGCAATGCGCGACGGGTAAGCTAGTTTTATATAAAACTCATCTCTCCTCAAAATTAAGTTTTTTTTTTTTTTTGCCATTTTATAATCATTAAGAATAAAAAAATTTTCTAATATGTAACCAGCACAACATTCAGAGGATGCTGAACAGCAATTTGAATGATATAATATCATGTTAAATTTAAAGCATGATGAACCACAACTCCTTGGCACATTTTATGGGCAATGGATTTTATGAACTTTCCTGGAATTCACTGTTGTCACAATGTGCACTACTGGATAGAACATGTTTCACATTACATGCAATGTATATGATACTAAAAGCATTTTACTCTAAATGTCTGTTATGGAATTTGAGGTGAGCATTTTTCTTTGAAGTCAGAGGTGCTTTGTATGTTTTGTTAAATCGTCTTAAATTGATTCCTTTTGGTTATTTTAGCATTGAAATAAACATGCACCACATGCAAATAATTGTGCAATGTGGAAAGATCTTTTGCTCCTGAATAGATGTTTATGTGGACACCCTGTACATTAATTAATGTACACACGTAACATTTAATAAGTCTTCATATTTTTACTTCTCCAGCTGTTATATACAGGATGATTCATTGGTGGTATTCAGTAGTTTTTTTTTTTTATCAGAAACTGTTTGCAGTAGGAATATCAGACTAATAACAAAGTTTATAAAACAGACAAGGGTATTATGAACTTGAAAATCAGTGGTTTTTGAGATACGGACAAAATGGGTTTTTTAAATTATAAGGGACACTTTTGAGCCACTATATGGATAGTATGTGACAAATAATTTAGATCTCATTTTCTTAAACCAAATAGTTTTCAAGATATTGGCCAGTTTCTTGTATGAATCTGATTTCTTTTTTCCTAAAAGATTTTATGCTGGGAATTAGGTTTATCAGTTTATTTGTCAAAAAAGCTTTACATGACAAACATGATACTAATGAAAGTACATTTCAAAATTTACTTAAATTAAATGCTAAAAATGTCTACTTTATTGATGTATACAGAGATTTATTCTTCTAGGAAAGAAAAGCATTTAATATATTTTGTAGTTTTTATCTACTGATATTATGAAAAATTTCCTGATTTTCATGTTTTCTGTAGGAGGACACTAAAAGTAAACCATTTCCTTAATTGGTGCCCATGAAGACTTTGATTTGATTTGTGAATAATTTTGCTTCCACAAAGATTTGCTTCTTGTGAATAATTTTGGTGACATGCACCTAAAACATCAACATATCAATGCTTCTTCATTTGAATAACTCATTTTCATGAAAATAAAGGAAACATGTAAATACATTAAAAGATTGCTCCAAAAAAGACTCCTTCATGCCTTTGAAAAAGTAACAATTAAGTTTATTCAAAGCCTGCTTGTTCAACTATCTGATCTGATAAGATAAAGGACAAAAACTGATAAACTTAGTTCCTAGCAACTTTTGGGAAGAAGAGAAATCAGAGCAGAAACTGGTCGCTATCTTAAACTGTTAGGTTTAAGCAAATGTAACCTATTATAAAAGGTATTTATTTTGTCACATATTTCCATATAATGGCTCAAAACCACCTTTTATAATTTATAAAATCATGTTTTTTTCTGTACTTAAAAAAAAATTGCTGATTTGATTTGAATTTTTGATGACCTCAAAAGGTCATCAAAAATTGTCCCCATCTGCTCTATATATAAATTTGGTTATTACTCTCATCTTATCTCTAACAGTGTTCAAGAATACCTGTATAACATAGGGAAAGTATGGGGATTGGTCAAAACAAGCCAATTCAAGATTTTTACATTTTTATTTTAACATAAGACTTTAAAAAACATAATATATATATATATAATTTAATATACACAATATTTTTTTAATGTATGCATGAAGGTAGTTATAAATATTTAAGTTTGTTTATAAAGTAGTGTTTGAAACTTTCAGGTGATCAAATATTAGCTAATAACAAAGAATTTACAATGACACCACTCCAATTATATGCTTTATCGGAAAGATTAAAATTGGCCGAACCAACTTGTTGTAAGTACTTTTTTAATTCAAAAATATGTTCAGATTTTAATTTTAGATTTTATAAAATATTTTATTTTGTTTTATTTTAAAAGTTTTTTAAAATAATAAAAATTCTTTTAATTTTGCCAAGAGATAATGAGAAGCATTTTCCTTATAATTCTGGTTTCATAGCATAATGAATTACAATATACTGTTAATCTTTTAATGTTGAAGTTCTGAAACACTCAAACTATAAATGATTAAACTATATTATTTGTTGGCAAGTGAAAGATTCTGATTTAATCTTCCTTCATTTCATATTAACTTTAGTTAATTTTTTTTATTTAATCAAATCATATTCTTTAAATATTATGATATCTTCTATATAATAGTTATTCTTAATTGCACTTTTAATTCTTGACTAGTGACTTTGCTTCATATTGTAAATTAGCTATCACATCTGATAAAGTTTGAGAAGTCAAAATTTGTCTTCAGATTAGATCATAAGAATGACCTCAAGATTTGATCTGGTGATCAGACCATTTGGAAAAACTTGTCAAATAATAATTTTTTTTCCTCTAAACTTTATTACTGATGGGTGTCTTATTTATGAATTAAATTTAATTTTATACATTTTCCAGGAAAGTAACTTTAATATGGTTGGATAAGAAGCTAATTTAGTCCATTTCAAATGAATTGGGTTGAGTTGTCATCTTACTTATCTGGCCATATTGAAGCTGTTCTGCCAGGCAATGTGTGCAATTGTTGTTTTAGATTCTTTAACTATCTTCACTTAAGCTAACCACCTTACAAACATTGGCACTAGTCTAGATTCTTTCAAAATGGCCACACTTTAAGGATAATTTTATAAACATACAGAGCTGTTTGAAGGTTTTTTTTTTCGTCAAAGTTTCTTTAATTTTAATAACTGAAATATAAAAATTATTTAAATTTTAATTTTTTTCTGGTGAAGTTCTAATATATTTTGTAGTAATAATATCACAGATTAATCAGTTTATTGAACTAACAAGTAAGATACATGATGGTCTCATATAGTAATTCTAAGTAATTTGCCTTTTCTCTGCCAACAGGGCCGGATTTAACAGAGGCCTGTGGGCACAAATATGGTGGAGGCCCCCCTTTTAATTTGTATAATCGTGCGATATTTCAAGTATTATAAAGATTTCAACTAGGAAGTTGTAAATTTTGTTTAAAAATAAGGTTATTGTAAGCATACATATATTTTATTGTGTAAAATGAATTAGGTAATTTTCAATTAAATTAAAATATGTAAAATTTTTTCCGAAATTTTCTAATATGTTTCATAGGTTTTTCCCGGGTTTGGTTTTCTCTGCTTGTGGCTCTCATGATTAGGCCACACTAAGCTGTTGCAGTAATAGAAAAAAAAATTATGTTTAAACATAGTTTTGTGGGGGCCCTGGGCAATGGCCCCAAATGCCCTCAAATGCCCTTATGTAAATCTGGCACTGTCTGCCAAGATGGCACTTCAGAGTACACAGAGACTGTAACTTAATCTTAGGCAGGTTGCACCCAGCAAACACTGAGGTGGCTGGACAGACAGGTCAGACTTGATTTATGTGCTCGGGCTCTGGTGGTATGACCCAATGGGGACCAGCCTTCCTCGCCTTCCTCACTCGAGAGTGAGGAAGGCGAGGACCCTTTTACATGGACTTAGTTTTGTGTGCAGCCTGTACTGCACTAGAGTGCTCTACCATTGAGAGTATTGCTCACACCTTAACAGTCAGAAAGGTCCTCCTCCCCTAGATGAGGAGAGACCCTGCCTGGTGCATCCACCAGACTTCAAATGGACCCAAGACAATTTCATCAATTCCTTTAAGGTCTCTAAGTTTCCATTACTTGCTGCTAGCATTCAAAGTACTTGGTCTTCAGCTTGTTCTAATCAATGTGATTAGCCCTTTTAAGGAAGTCAACTGTAAAGGGGCATTCAAGTGCTTAGTGTCTCGCATCACCACACAGATACCCACAGGAGTAGCAATCATCTCCATGTCCAAATTTAGACTTGAAGTGAGGAAACTTCCCATAAGGACCTGGGTCAGTGTCAATTACAACTGATTGGAGTTTGGCCAAACTTCAGGCACAAACACATAGGTCAACCTCTATCTACTGCAGTGTTTCTCAATGGAGGTGATATCGCCCCATGGGGGAGTTTTCCATTTTGAGGGGGCGATTAGTAACAATTTATATTTTGGGGGCAAAAAACAATTTTCTGGGTGATATAGTAAAACATTATATTAAGAGTAATTAGATATTTTATTTGTTATATCATACAATAATTAAACAAATAACATTATACTAGTCACTAGTCTATTCAGTGCAGTACAAATTTGGCGTTAGTCTTGGCCTTTGGCATCGGAATTTTGTAGTGAAGGGGGCAACGATTCATTAGAGAAACACCGATCTACTGTATTGNAGTTTATTGAACTAACAAGTAAGATACATGATGGTCTCATATAGTAATTCTAAGTAATTTGCCTTTTCTCTGCCAACAGGGCCGGATTTAACAGAGGCCTGTGGGCACAAATATGGTGGAGGCCCCCCTTTTAATTTGTATAATCGTGCGATATTTCAAGTATTATAAAGATTTCAACTAGGAAGTTGTAAATTTTGTTTAAAAATAAGGTTATTGTAAGCATACATATATTTTATTGTGTAAAATGAATTAGGTAATTTTCAATTAAATTAAAATATGTAAAATTTTTTCCGAAATTTTCTAATATGTTTCATAGGTTTTTCCCGGGTTTGGTTTTCTCTGCTTGTGGCTCTCATGATTAGGCCACACTAGGCTGTTGCAATAATAGAAAAAAAAAATTATGTTTAAACATAGTTTTGTGGAGCCCTGGACAACAGCCCCAAATGCCCTTATGTAAATCCAGCCCTGTCTGCCAAGATGGCACTTCAGAGTAAACAGAGACTGTAACTTAATCATAGGCAGGTCGCACCCAGCAAGCACTGAGGTGGCTGGACAGACAGTCAGACTTGAATTATGTGCTCGGGCTCTGGTGGTATGACCCAATAGGGACCAGCCTTCCTTGCCTTCCTCACTCTCGAGTCCAACCCTTTTACATGGACTTAGTTTTGTGTGCAGCCTGTACTGCACTAGAGTGCTCTACCATTGAGAGTATTGCTCACATCTTAACGGTCGGCGAGGTCCTCCTCCCCTAGATAAGGAGAGACCCTGCCCAGTGCATCCACCAGACTTCAAAAAGACCCAAGACAATTTCATCAATTCCTTTAAGGTCTCTAAGTTTCCTTTACTTGCTGCTAGTGTTCAAAGTACTTGGTCTTCAGCTTGTTCTAATCAATGTGATCAGCCCTTTTATGGAAGTCAACTGTAAAGGGGCACTCAAGTGCTTAGTGTCTCGCATCACCACACAGATACCCACAGGAGCAGCAACCATCTCCATGTCCAAATTTGGACTTTAAGTGAGGAAACTTTCCATAAGGACCTGGGTCAGTGTCAATTACAACTGATTGGAGTTTGGCCAAACTTCAGGCATGAACACATAGGTCAACCTCTATCTACTGCAGTGTTTTTCTCAACGGAGGCGATATCACCCCATGGGGGAGTTTTCCATGTTGAGGAGGCGATTAGTAACAATTTTCTGGGTGTTATAGTAAAACATTATAACAAATAAAATATCTAATTATTCTTAATATATCATACAATAATTAAACAAATAACATTATACTAGTCACTAGTCTATTCAGTGCAGTAAGAATTTGGCATTAGTCTTGGCCTTCAGCATCGGAATTTTGTAGTGAAGGGGGCAATGATTCATTAGAGAAACACTGATCTACTGTATTGAGGTTCCAGCATTCTTACCAATATGTTATTGATTGTCACAGTAGAATACTTTATAAGTAACTTGCTGGAGATTCTACCTTCTCCATTACAAATGGGCTCTTAGCAGCTGCCTTGGCCAAGCAATCAGCACACTTGTTGCCCAGGATCCCAATGTGGCCTCAGCTACTAATAGTTTGTCTGGTTTCTCATTTTTTCTTGCCCTTCTTTTAATATATGCACTCTGTTTCTAATATGATTAAAAAATTGTGTAAGTTCCAAAACTACAGGATACTGAAAACATAATGAATAACAGTATTAAAAATTAGTGAAAGAAATAGAACAAATTCATGAAAAAGTAGCATTGCGATGGGAACCAATCATGTTCTCTTAACCCATTTTATCCTTGTCCTTTATTTTTGAAAGCAAATGCAACAATGTTTTTAGAAATTATTTATCTGACAGGTTTTATTTCTCACATTTGAACTAAATAAAATTTAGTGTAAATTTTGATATTACTTTTATTTTAATACTTCACTTGAAGTATGCAATCAAAAAAAGTTGAATAGGTTAAACACATTTATTCGATATATAAATAAAACTTTAAAGTACTAAAATTGTATTTCCAAGAAATATGATAATGTACCATATCTGCCTTACTTTTGATTATCATTCTTCAATTCCTCGATCACAAAATTTGAAAATCTTAAACAACGAGACTGTAGTGTTTATCCTTATAGATAGGCTCGTGAAATTCTTGCACCATGGTACTGGCAATCAGTGTGCGTATTGTGTGTATTTTATTTGTTGGTTGCTCTGTTGCTTGTAATTACTTTCAGGAGTTCGTATGAATTCACTTCTTTCTAATGCAATACAGAAATTTATGTTTAATTAATTTCAAAATAGAAAAATCTAATTTTATTTATTCCATACTTAAGTTTTGTGCCAATATGTATAAAGTTAATCTTGTACTCTTGTTAATCTTTTCTTTCTTGTTCTATTGAAGAGGAAGTGTAAAATTCCTCTTCAGCAACAAGAACAAGAAAACCATATAGAACAGTTTGAAATGCATGTAGTGTAATTTAATTATTTCTTCTAATTATAATAAAGGACCATTGAAAGGATTCAAGTAATTATTTTATTTTTTAACATTATTTTACATTTATGGTTTTGGTTTTTTACACATTTTAAATAGCAAATTAATTGTTTCCGTCAGATATAACTAGATATAAAATGTATAATTTTTTTTCCAGGGTCTGGAAGTAAATCGAGAGATTTGGGCCATCTGTTGGATTTTATTTCGCAGCTGAAATATTTGAGGATTGTTGGAAGCGACGAATTTGTTTTTAATAGTAATATAATTCCCAATAAACTGAAATTTGATTTGGCTGCCTTCAAATCACTTAACAAATTGAAGGTAAAATTAAGATATAAGGATATAATATATAATTAAAATAGCAAGCAGTATTATTAAAGTTTATATCTGTTTATATAAAACAAAAGCAGAAAGAATTAAATTAAATTTAGTCAATTATGATAGTAAACTTAGATATTACATTGTAGATTCCCAAAAATTGTATATGAAATGTCAAAAAATTTTCTTTTGGCTAGCAGTTTTCATAGAATTAAAAGTATTGATATTGAATTTTTTCATTATTATGAGGATTGGAAATCTGTTGTACAAATAGTTTAACGTATAAAAAATAATGTTTATTTTTTCTTTTGGAGATCCATGTGGAGTTCTCAATTCTTTCATTTAATCATCATCAATATTTTGTGAATAGCAAGCAGGAAGGAATAAATGCTGATTGTTTTTCTGATTACTACTATTGTCATTGAATCAAACATTTAGAAATGAGTGTAAGAGATTTTATCATTAATTAATGTTTTCTTACAGTGGACAGAAATTATTTGAAAACATGTTTACAATAATGACAATTATTATTTTTACACTAATTTAATAACATTTTTAAATTGAAGATTAAAAATTAATTAGCAATATTACATCTTTTGTAGTATTTTCCAGCTAAAAATGAAGTGTTGCTTTAATGCTTTGTGTACTCATGCATTTCTAATATTCTAAAACTATTTTATATAGATATTTAAAAATCCACATATACTTAACTTTAAGTTTTATTTATAATCCCGAGTGAAAAATAAATAATAAGGGATCAAAATAAATTTTTAACCCTCTCCCTCAACTTTGTGGGGGGGAATTTTGGAAAGTCCCTTCTTTGTGTACATTCTCATCGCATACCGTAACTGTGTACCAAATTTCAACCTAACCGTTCAGGCTCTGCACTTTATAATCAAAATGGGTTGATAATAATAATAAGAAGTTTTTAATTGCTACTTAATTACACATCATCAATTTTAGAAAATCAATTTTTAATTACATAATTGATTATGTTAATTAAATTTCTTTTTAAATTTTAGATAGAATGCTGTAATCTAGAGCACCACATAACAGGTATAGAAGTAATAAGGCAGACAGTATCTACATTAACAGTCCATAATTCTATACAAGATATCAATTCATTATTACTGGCATCATTTCTTCATTGGTCGCCATTATCAAATTCAAAGAACTGGCCTACGTGGCAGAAAGTGGGTAATGCAGATTTCAGTCATAACAGGATGACAAAGATAAATCCAGCAATTGTAAGTTTTTTACATTTCATTTGTATAATTCAAAAAAAATCATTTAATTTTAAATCGACTTTGTTTTTCAGAAGTTGCTTTGTGTAGTCGAACAGCTAAATCTCAGTTACAATAAAATTAGAGAAATTGAAAATTTGGAATCTTTACCAAGACTGTCCACTCTTAATTTATCTCATAATCAAATACATAAATTAGAGATGTTGCACACGCGTCTTGGAAACGTTTGCCATTTAAATTTATCAAAAAATAACATAACATCCTTGCAAGGTTATTTTAAATTTGTACAATTAACAAAGTAAAGCGTATTTGGATGTAACAACGAATTTCTTTGTTACAGGAATGTCTCGTTTATATTCTCTCATCGAATTAGATGTTAGTAACAACAACATTTTGGAATTGGATGAAATCTCTCACGTTGGAGGTCTTCCCTGTTTAGAAATATTAATTTTGATTAATAATCCCGTAACGACTGCAGTGGACTACCGATCTCACGTACTGCTAGCATTCGGATCTAGAGTGTCGGAAGTATGATTTTAAAAAAAAAAGATGTTTTATTTATTAAATTATAAGAAATTTTTTCACGTGCAAGAGTATATTGTAATATTATTTTTTAGTTATCGCTAGACGGACAAAAAGCGAGTCAAAAGGAATTAGATACGGTAGCCGTGATGCAAGCACTGAAGGCGGCTAAAGAGGGAAGAATATTGCAGCAAACTAATCAAAACACGCACGGAGAAAAGGCAAGTGTTTTTTAAAATAATTTGAAATTATTTATTGCTTCGATAAAATATGAAATTTACATAAAATATTGCTTTTTATTTAAGCCGAAAGACACTTTCAAAAAACAAATGAAATATGTATAGAATTTTTGTCTGGTTAAATAAGCATCAATAATTCTTATCGATGCTTATTTAACCAGACAAAAATTTATAAAAGATGGAACATAATGGAATACGTGCAATTAATTAAGCAGTAGATTTTGTTCGTTGTTGGCCGAAAAATAATCTTAAAAATTATTCCAATAAGAAATAATCTGTTTACGATAAAGATGGGAGACCATAATCGGGATTTGTGAATTATGCAATCTCTGCAGGGCAATATTTAATGATAATGGTGCACAGCTATGCAACAAAAATGAATGCGTCATACCCAAAAGACAGAGGTAGTAAGCGGTAGTTAGCATCTTTATTTGGCTTTCAGAAGTCCTTGACAGTCGGATGTCTGTGCTGTGAAAGAAGAAAAAATTTGGTCCTTTTTCCCTTTCAATCTGATCATTACACTAGCTGAAACAAAAAATACTGTCACCAGTACAAAAAATGGGAAAAAGAATTGAAACAAATATTACTTTCCTGGCGTTATATATAAAACAGAAGGGAAGTAGGCAATTGGTCAGAAAATTGACCCTCCAAGATCTTTAATTTTTTTTAGACTTGGGGCCTTGAAACGTTGAGAAATGCAAAAAATTCTGTGGGGGGCACAATTTTTGTTCACTCTTTTTGAAGCTTAATAACTCGTGCTTTTTGTCAAAAATTTCTGAAATTATGCACGGAGGTTGGATTATTAGGGGATCGATGCTATTAAATTTTAGTGATTAAAGGTCAAAGGGTGTCGTGTGTATCTCTAGTAGGGTTGGACTTAACAACAATTTTACTGGTTATTAGCATTTACAATTTTTTTTATAAAACCTGTTGCTACCCTACACTCAAAATTAAGCTTTTTGCCATTTTATAATAGTTAAAAATATAACAGATGGCACCAGCAATGAGTTGCTTTTTATGATAAACATTTATAGCTCATTGCCTTATGTGCGAAGCATTGAACAATCGAGAGACGGTATAATTCGCCAGTCCCCGATTATTTGTAGCAAAATAGAAAGAAGTATTTTAATAAAATTTAAAAGGAGTTATTTTAGATAAATTTTGTCTCTGAAATATCATATTAATTTAATAAATTTTATTTATTCCAATATTATTTTTCAGGCGACGGGGATTCTGGCTTCGGGTACATCTCAACAATGCTTCTAACATCGGACTCCAGAATTTAACAGGATTAAAAATAATGTGGTAGGAAAAGAAAATTTAATTTTAAATGCAAAAATTATGTAGAATTTCTTCCAGACAGGGCGGTGCATTTATTAAATTTTTGAAAGCGGTTACAGAAAAGTCACCTATCAACTGTTCACTTTCCAAATTAAGAGCTTGTTAATACAAAATTTCCTTTTGATATTCGGTTCCACCAATGTAACCACATCGAGTTACATGGTGGGAGATAATTTGTGCCAAAGTAGACTGATCTTCTTAAATTTTTCCGTGCAGAATCAATACATCCGGCGGTGTGCGACAAGTTTTAATTCTATCGTCCGAATTTTTTAAGACAAAAAAAAAATATTAATTTAAAATGCACTTTTTTTGTTTTTTCCCAGCCAGACCGAGAGACGGCACCAAAGAAAATCCATTAAATGTGGTCGACAGATGTAAGTTACCAGAGTTGATTTCTCACCCGCAGACTCTGCAACGGGCCAAAAGACAGAAGGATGGTGGTCGTTGTCCCGGTCGTTATTTAATCCCCCAATTAAACGCATCGAAAGACCGGAAGTTCGGATGCCGGCGGCGGCTTCGGGCCATTCCGTCTTGCCACTTTAAAAAGTATCGGTGATTAGAGTAGGAAGAGAGAAGCAGTCGGTCCATCCCGGGCCGATTTTTGTCTCCCGACGGAAGACGTGAAGAATCTTTAAAGTTGTATATTTTATTTACCCAATGTATATAAATAATCAGTGTTAAAAGTTGTTTTATAAATTTCTACCAAGAATTGTACGTATCCCATGGAAATCGACGAATTAATATAAAAGCTTGTGAAGTTTAAATAAATTTTTTATTTTCTAAGAAAATATTTCCAAGTCGCCCTCTTTCTTTATCTTCCGTACCGGTAAACGAGTGGATGCCACCCGCTCATTACCCGGTGACTTTGGGCAGTGACTTCTTACTTGGGAATAGTTTGTCATAGGGAGGAAGACGTGCAAAAATTTTGAGAGATTGCAATGGGTTGGGGGTGTTAGTAGAATGACCAAGTCCTGAAGATTCAAAAAATTTCCTATTTAAAATAATTTTTTACCTAAATGATTGATCACGCAACAAAATCGTTTTGCTTATTGTAATTTGGTACAGTGCTGTACTTCCAATAGAATATGAAAATCCTTTCATATTAAATTGTTGCTTTTAACATTTGCAGATACAAATATGTTATAAAGATGTCTCTTTCAGAGACATCGGTATATCTTTGATTGATTTACCACAGAAAAATCTAGTAATAGTCAGTCTTTTTTTTTTTAATTGGCTTTGCCTTGAAAGGAAATGTGAATACATCAATACACTTTAGCTCTGTTTTACAGAAATGTTCGATCTCGATATTGGGATGGCACGTAATGTGACGTCGGCATGGGGGGTGTGTCAAAACGGTTACAAAAAGTGATGGGTAGTCAAAAAGCACTTAAAATTGGCAACGTCGTATTTGAATGACTAAAAAAGAAAATCCACATTTTCTACACCACAGACAATTTTCCAAAATGGTACAACTCCATTTGACTGTGGAAACGTTCGCCGTTTGGAATGATTTTAAAAACACGACACCGACGGAGGGGCAGAATTATTCTGCTGGAATTTGTATAGTAGTCTGGTGTAATTAACAAAGTACAGAAATGTCTTTTTAAAGAGAGGAAATGTTTTAATGGGGTAAAAAAGTAAACTGGTTAGTTAGGATAAATTGACAGTTAGGATTTGGGCAGGTAATAATTAGTAGGAACAAAGGGCATTTTTACTACTTCTGCTTCCACTAATTTATTCCTTATTCGGAAGGAGACTTTGGATCCACCAGCAGAATTACCCGTAGGAACGTATCCCATGGCCACGTTCTTCTTCAGAGAAGGCGACGGACATCCGCTGGTGACTCTGCCAATTTCCTCTCCCAAAGAATCCACGATCGGTGTCCCGGCTGAAAAAGTAAAAAGTAAGGGCTGTGAGAAATCTCTGTGCAAATTTAGAATAAGATAGTGGCGGGTGCCATCTTTGCTTTTTATGGACTTAATTAGGAAACTGTGCATTTAAATTGTGAAATACTTTGTGGTCAAAGGTAAAATATATAAAGTCTCCGATTAGTTCGTAATGAATTCCTGTTAACAGTTTATGTCTTGAAATGATATTTTGTAGTTTATTTTAAATTAACTTATCATTTCCGAATGCATGAAGTAGGGTGTGGATGGCATGCCACTCTACTCTTTTCCTCGTACCGTTTTTAGGTCTCGTGTATGGGATACCCCATATAAGAACTGTGGCATATCTTGTGGATTGTGTGTGCAAAATGTTTGGCTAGATTCTGATGCAGAGAGAAATTTATTGCACTGGAAATTGTGAATGTTGTCTGCATCAGATGTCTTTTTGACTGTGTTCTTTGTACTGGGTGTTGGACCTGTATGTTTATTTTGCACAATTGGAGTCTCGTGCATGTTTTCTTCCTTTTTGATCCGGCATACTTCGTTTTTCTACACGACAAGGATTAGACCAATAGTTTGAGCTGTTTTCCATTGTCACATCATCTAGTGTGTTTAGTGTGTACTACATATTCTACGGACCAAATCTGTATACAAGTGCCTCGTTGTGAATAAGTTATAAAATCTGCACATTAAGAAAACAATAAAATATCATTTGAGTCCTTTGATGTCTCAATGTGTACGTGAGTATTGTTTCTTTTTTTCAATGCTGTATTTGCCACCTATGGCCAAGGGAAACTGGCAATTTTTTAAACATGAACCTCTGACTAATCGACAAATGCAGATATTACATCCAAGCCAAGTATACTGTTGTAAAAGTGTAACAATCATATTTGCTTTTCCACCTAAAGCCAGATGTTCATATATCTGTTTTCCATGTCAGGCAGCTGATCTTATTTAGCAGCTACCCACTCTGCATAAGACGCTGTTTGTGAGTCACTCTCTTCTTCATTTCTCCCTACTAGCCTTACTGATACAAGTGGCCCTGCTGGAAGACTGTGCTCCTGCTAGCATGGCTCTATGATTCATTGGAACTACTGAACTCAGCTCAAAAAGATGATGAACATGAGGGTAATTAATAATATTTTGGATGATGATACAGTAGAGCATCGATTTTCCGAATCAATTGGGGACTGGGGTTGTCCGGATAACTGATTTACGTACGAAAAAATAGTTTAACGTATCCGATGCCGAAATTTTTCTCGTTGTCCCGGTCGTTATTTAATCCCCCAATTAAACGCATCGAAAGACCGGAAGTTCGGATGCCGGCGGCGGCTTCGGGCCATTCCGTCTTGCCACTTTAAAAAGTATCGGTGATTAGAGTAGGAAGAGAGAAGCAGTCGGTCCATCCCGGGCCGATTTTTGTCTCCCGACGGAAGACGTGAAGAATCTTTAAAGTTGTATATTTTATTTACCCAATGTATATAAATAATCAGTGTTAAAAGTTGTTTTATAAATTTCTACCAAGAATTGTACGTATCCCATGGAAATCGACGAATTAATATAAAAGCTTGTGAAGTTTAAATAAATTTTTTATTTTCTAAGAAAATATTTCCAAGTCGCCCTCTTTCTTTATCTTCCGTACCGGTAAACGAGTGGATGCCACCCGCTCATTACCCGGTGACTTTGGGCAGTGACTTCTTACTTGGGAATAGTTTGTCATAGGGAGGAAGACGTGCAAAAATTTTGAGAGATTGCAATGGGTTGGGGGTGTTAGTAGAATGACCAAGTCCTGAAGATTCAAAAAATTTCCTATTTAAAATAATTTTTTACCTAAATGATTGATCACGCAACAAAATCGTTTTGCTTATTGTAATTTGGTACAGTGCTGTACTTCCAATAGAATATGAAAATCCTTTCATATTAAATTGTTGCTTTTAACATTTGCAGATACAAATATGTTATAAAGATGTCTCTTTCAGAGACATCGGTATATCTTTGATTGATTTACCACAGAAAAATCTAGTAATAGTCAGTCTTTTTTTTTTTAATTGGCTTTGCCTTGAAAGGAAATGTGAATACATCAATACACTTTAGCTCTGTTTTACAGAAATGTTCGATCTCGATATTGGGATGGCACGTAATGTGACGTCGGCATGGGGGGTGTGTCAAAACGGTTACAAAAAGTGATGGGTAGTCAAAAAGCACTTAAAATTGGCAACGTCGTATTTGAATGACTAAAAAAGAAAATCCACATTTTCTACACCACAGACAATTTTCCAAAATGGTACAACTCCATTTGACTGTGGAAACGTTCGCCGTTTGGAATGATTTTAAAAACACGACACCGACGGAGGGGCAGAATTATTCTGCTGGAATTTGTATAGTAGTCTGGTGTAATTAACAAAGTACAGAAATGTCTTTTTAAAGAGAGGAAATGTTTTAATGGGGTAAAAAAGTAAACTGGTTAGTTAGGATAAATTGACAGTTAGGATTTGGGCAGGTAATAATTAGTAGGAACAAAGGGCATTTTTACTACTTCTGCTTCCACTAATTTATTCCTTATTCGGAAGGAGACTTTGGATCCACCAGCAGAATTACCCGTAGGAACGTATCCCATGGCCACGTTCTTCTTCAGAGAAGGCGACGGACATCCGCTGGTGACTCTGCCAATTTCCTCTCCCAAAGAATCCACGATCGGTGTCCCGGCTGAAAAAGTAAAAAGTAAGGGCTGTGAGAAATCTCTGTGCAAATTTAGAATAAGATAGTGGCGGGTGCCATCTTTGCTTTTTATGGACTTAATTAGGAAACTGTGCATTTAAATTGTGAAATACTTTGTGGTCAAAGGTAAAATATATAAAGTCTCCGATTAGTTCGTAATGAATTCCTGTTAACAGTTTATGTCTTGAAATGATATTTTGTAGTTTATTTTAAATTAACTTATCATTTCCGAATGCATGAAGTAGGGTGTGGATGGCATGCCACTCTACTCTTTTCCTCGTACCGTTTTTAGGTCTCGTGTATGGGATACCCCATATAAGAACTGTGGCATATCTTGTGGATTGTGTGTGCAAAATGTTTGGCTAGATTCTGATGCAGAGAGAAATTTATTGCACTGGAAATTGTGAATGTTGTCTGCATCAGATGTCTTTTTGACTGTGTTCTTTGTACTGGGTGTTGGACCTGTATGTTTATTTTGCACAATTGGAGTCTCGTGCATGTTTTCTTCCTTTTTGATCCGGCATACTTCGTTTTTCTACACGACAAGGATTAGACCAATAGTTTGAGCTGTTTTCCATTGTCACATCATCTAGTGTGTTTAGTGTGTACTACATATTCTACGGACCAAATCTGTATACAAGTGCCTCGTTGTGAATAAGTTATAAAATCTGCACATTAAGAAAACAATAAAATATCATTTGAGTCCTTTGATGTCTCAATGTGTACGTGAGTATTGTTTCTTTTTTTCAATGCTGTATTTGCCACCTATGGCCAAGGGAAACTGGCAATTTTTTAAACATGAACCTCTGACTAATCGACAAATGCAGATATTACATCCAAGCCAAGTATACTGTTGTAAAAGTGTAACAATCATATTTGCTTTTCCACCTAAAGCCAGATGTTCATATATCTGTTTTCCATGTCAGGCAGCTGATCTTATTTAGCAGCTACCCACTCTGCATAAGACGCTGTTTGTGAGTCACTCTCTTCTTCATTTCTCCCTACTAGCCTTACTGATACAAGTGGCCCTGCTGGAAGACTGTGCTCCTGCTAGCATGGCTCTATGATTCATTGGAACTACTGAACTCAGCTCAAAAAGATGATGAACATGAGGGTAATTAATAATATTTTGGATGATGATACAGTAGAGCATCGATTTTCCGAATCAATTGGGGACTGGGGTTGTCCGGATAACTGATTTACGTACGAAAAAATAGTTTAACGTCCATTGCGTGTTGCTTTGCGTTGAATTTTCGTTGATGTTAAGCCTAACAAAGACTATTGTATTGTTAAAAATTATTTTTTTATTTTGTATGAACAAAATAAATATATTGAAAAATATAAAAATAATAAAAAATTATACTTCAGATGTTAATTTAGTATCAAAAACGTAAAATATTTGAGTAACCCAAGACATAGCCAAAGATTGAAGCGCCACAGCACTGGCAAAAATTTAAATTTGCCGACTGGAATTCTTTCGGATGATTGACTTTTGGAAAATCGACGCTCTACTGTATCATCATCATCCAAAATATTATTATTGAAATAATGATACCATCCAAATGATATCATCATTTCTTGACTCTAGCATTCATCTTTTTTTGGATTATTCTAGTCTCCAAAATTGGGGTATGTATTAGAATTGAACACAAAGTCAACTTAATGCAGTCATTTGTGTTGTCTACTTCTCATTCCTTTCAGCAATTTGCATGCATTACATTGTTGATACCTTCACACTACTTCAGCTTTAATTTTTATTAGATTTTTGAACTACAGTAGAGCATCAATTATCCGAAACAATTAAGGACTGGGGTTGTTCGGACAACTGATCGTGTACAAAAAAATATTAACCTATCCCACGTTGAAAATTTTCTCCATTGCATGTTGCTTCGTGTTGAATTTTCATTGATGTTAAGCCTAACAAAAAATTTTTTAACAATAATAATTGTGCCTATTGTATCATTAAAAATTATTTTTATTTTGCACAAACAAAATAAATATATATTTTTTGTTTTTATATTTTTCAATATATCTTGGAAGTTAATCTAGTATCAAAAACATTCCGATTCAGCACAACACACTTCCCCCCACAGCCCTCAGAAAAACACCACACAAAACAAGTAAAACTCACCACTCATGTTGGGAAAAAAGCCTTGTTCAAATACTGGCACATCCTAAAGTACCCTCTCACGTTCATGCCAGTGCTGCTAGCTAAAACATGCACACCAACAAAAATAATAATGGAGTAGCCCAAGACACTTCCACTAGTACTGTGGCACAGCAATATTTGGCTATTTGAATTTGCTGACTGGAACGCTTTTGGTTAACCAATGTTTTGGTTGATCGGTATTCAGATAATCGATGCTCTACTGTAGTTAGCTAAGCAAATTATGTCCAGCAAACAAGTTTCTATGAAAACTAAATTTAAACAGTTATCAGCTATGCTGAAAACTTGTACACAATAAACATATCACACTGAAATATCTGTGTATCTGGTAAATTTCATGCTTGTGCAAAGCTCTTAAAATGTTGATTTTAAGAGTTAGTCCAGAGATTTTCTATATACGATGATATAGTAATAAATGAATGTATTCAAAAATGTATTTGTTGAGGTTCAAATCATCATCATGCATATATGTCTTTGTTCATATATGTATAAATAAAACCCCTTTTGTCTTAAACCCTCTTTTTTCCCCCTCTGTTACCCTATCAGCACCAATGAATGTCTAGTATATCAATCTATGTAGATTTGTACATCTTATGCCTTTGTATGTACCCATCTTTGGTAATCCAGCATCTCCAAATAAAACTTGTTCTCTGACTATAATAACTCAATAAATGGGATCTAAGTAACAGTGTTTATTACTGTTTGAATGTATTAAATTCCCATGACTGTGATGTGTTATATATATAGGGTCACATTACATTTGCAAGTTAACTTTTTTGGATTTTGATGCACATTAGAATTGAGTAAACACAGTAATTTTACAAAATTACATGTATGCAGATGTAGTTGCTGGCATAAAAATCTGGTAGATTGATTTGCTTTCTGTGTTCTGGTGAAGTCCAGGAAAATGAGTGAATTGTAGTTTGTGCAGAAAAATGTTTATGACTATTGTAGTCTACTTAGAATTAGCTTTTTACAACTTACTTCCAAGCATCTTTGTTTTTCTTATTATTTTCATTGTAAATCTAAATGAACATCAAGTGAAGTATTGGAACCTAAATTGGATATGACCAATCTTCCTTTAGAATTAAATGAAAGTATATCAAACATCTCAATGCCCAATATACAGGGTTAGTGAGAAATAAGTTTCCCACTTCACAGAGCTCTGGAGTGTGTTCTACTGCTTGAAATGAGAAGACAAAATTTGGACTACAGATAATTCAAAAGATGCACTTGACATTTCTTAAATAAAAAAAAATAGTACAAAAATCCATTGATAGGTGGTGCTGGAGCACACAGAAATATTGAATATGTAGCACTAAAACTGCTCAATATGTTCTCCTTTATTTTGAACAATGTGCTCTATAATTGTGAAACTGTATTTTCCACACCTGTATGCAGTGAGTCTGCTGGAATATCCAGAACATGGTGCCAAATGCTGCCCTTCGGATCTAGCACAGATGCAGGTCTTCTACGGCAGTTATTGTCCTTCAGGAAACTCCATAACCAAAAGTCGCAAGGGGCGATATCCGGCGAGCGAGGAGGCCTTGTTGTAGGAAAATAACGGCTGATCACCCGTGCATCTGTCAAATGCTGTCTTAGTATGGTTTTGTGATTATATCAACTGCATCATTCGAATTATCTGTAGTCCAAATTTTGTCTCATTTCGAGCAGTAGAACACACTGCAGAGCTCTTTGAAAAACTTGCTTCTTGCTACCCCTATATACATAGGGGTAGCAAGAAGCAAGTTTTTCACTTCATATATAGATTTCCCTACAAGTTTTTCCCTATATATAGATACATAACCAAATGATTGCCTTAAAAAATCTGGCTATAGATACATTATTTAAGATCATTTGGTTATGGAATTAAATGAAAACAGAGATGATAAATGAGAAAAATAATTTCATTTAGATTTTAACCTCTATTCCTGTTGATACTAGACCTTCTCCAATGACACTCTTTGGCAAGATTCCCTTCTTGAAAGAATTCTTACATTCAGAAATAAAATCAGAATATAAGTAAATTGCAGAATAGTTTGGCCCATCTTACAAAGAGAGTAAATGTTGATAAAATATTGGAACTTGAAAGAGGCAACTTTAAAATTATTATTATTAATTTTATTTATTTATTTCCAAGAGATCAAGGATTTTTCAGTAAGCAAAAAAGAATCTATTAATTAATTTTTGAAAAATTATGTTCTAATATTGAAATATTGATAGTTGAATTAGGTCCCAATCATTACCATGGGAAATGAGTTACACAAATATAAACAATGTCTCCCTTAACATCTGTCAACAATGGAAATTGATTTGAGAAATTGACATTTTCTCAAAGGAAAATGTCACCTATGTTACCTGCAAATATGCAGATGATTGGTCCTAATTCCTCCAGTCATAATTGTTATCATCATAATGATAGAACAATATTCTATCAGGACAGAAGACCGTATTGTAAGAATAATTTTTATAATACACATTTTGAATGACATGCCAAGTTTTATGAAATTTCAAGTTATCAGGACTACTGTAATTACAAAATTTGCCTAATTTAAATTATGATCACAAAAATAAGGTAACTTAGCTTATTGTATCATTTTTATCATCGTGTGTGTTAATTGAGGAATGATTTACTTCAATATTATAAAAAAACATCTTTCAACCTTTACTGTTTAAAAATAGATTGGTTTTAAAATACAGTAAAACTTGTGTAAAATGGAATTGCACAATACCAAGTTATTTTTCCAATTTTGAACACATTTCAGTACTTTTTTTATCACAAAAAGTCCTCATTGTTCCTGAGAACTTGTGCTAGAAATTTGATACTTCATACTTCTTGGATGTGATCCTTATGAGTTCACATGCACTGAGAACTAGTGTCTCACTCTGCCATTAATCTCTGTATTACTATATTAGAATTTCTAAGTTATTGTGATCTGACTTCTCAAGGAATTTTAATACTCTTATCATTAACTTCAATCTCTAAGTCTCAAATACTTCATACTATAGTAAAACCTCTAAATCTCAAATTTGGAGGGACCAAAAAAGGCCAGTTCAAGTCATGGAAAATTCTACATATTAAAATATATAAAAAATTAAAAATTTTTAGTCAGATGGAAGTACAAAGTAGAAGAATAAGGGATGCAATTCTGCAATATTTTTAAGTCCATGATATTTCTGTAGCTTGGAAAAATAAGGGCATTTGACAATTCTTCCAAGTCATAGATTTATTTGAATCATTATTAGAATATATGAGGCTGTAATAACATTTTAATTAAATATTGTGAATTTAGGTATATCACCAAATTAAAAAATGAATAATCCAGACAACTGCCAAATTCAACAGACCAAAATCCTTTTTAAATTTTTGAAAGATTTTCAACTCAATAAGAGTCATCATCAGTACAGAATGGAATACAAGTTACAATAAGAACATTTGTTAAATGAAAATCAATTGTGCACATGCAATCATTTTTAACATTTTATACAGTATTACAAAATAAGAATATATCAGAGTTGAATGTAACAATATACAAAACAAAATAAACATCACTTGGTAAAATTTTTATTTTTTTTAGTAAAATCTATTGTGTCAAGCAGAGGTAGCCAGTTGGAATAAAAATATATTCCATTTTTGCTATTAATGACATTATCTCTCTGCTTCTGTTCCAGGCAGAGAAGGAATAGTGTCCCTTCTGGCAGAAATGTTAGGGGTCTTTTTGTCCATCTACTAGGCAGACAAACAAAAAGACCCCTAACATTTCTGCCAAAGAACATAACTTTTAAGCTACTCAACAATGCTACAAGAGAAGCTAGATTTAGCAAATTTTCTATTAAATTGGCAACTAGGATTAATTGGCTTACTTAACAGCTGTATTAAAGCTACTTTAACAAACAATGCACCAAAAGGATTTGCAGAACTTAATACACCCAGGTTGGTCAGCATCTATTGAGTTCAACTAATTCAACTTAAGGAGGTACAACATTAAGTTATGTAAAATTTTGTTTGTTTGACTTAAGCAGTAGAAAAATACTTAATACTTATATTATATAGGGTGCCAAACAACTACCAGATTACATCAGGCTACTTTTTTGTGATTATTTTTAATTAATTTATAAATAATTCATCACTTAGGGAGGTGTTAGGTACCATTGCTTATTAAATTTATGTAATTTAGTTATAATTATTTAAATATTCTAAAAGGAAAGAATTGGCCGGAGCAGGACTCAAATCTGCAACTCTCGCTTTCCATGCAGATGCATTGCCAGTTAAGTTACTCAAGCCTCCAGGCTGATCTCCTCTTTCAGACATATTTCATTATGATATAACCATCCTTGGTTACTTACAGCACCAACGGGGACATAAGTAACTGAGGATGTTCTATATAATTTGTCACTGACACCCTCTAGTGACAAATTATTTAGAAATTAATTAGAAATAATCACAGAAAAGTATCCCAATGTAATCTGGTTGTACAAGATGTTTGTTTTAATAAATATATAAAAAGTACGACATTTTCACGAAGGTGAGAACCTTGCTTCTGTCAGTCTTTCCGCCGTTTCATTTCTACACCATCAGCAATCTTTAAGACAATTCACAAAAATTTTTTTTTCCCAGAGACGACCTTTCTTTTAAGGCTACTGCCTCCGCAAAAAAATGTAAAATCAGGCAAATCGTCCTCTGGTGTTCGTTGCCATTGTCACAATATCACATTTTAGGTAGTAGCCTTTTAAGGCTACTACCTAAAATGTGATGAGGTAGTAGCCTTAAAAGGAAGGCCGTCTCCGAAAAAAATTTTTGTGAATTGTCTTAAGGATCGCTGATGGTGTAGAAATGAAACGGCGGAAAGACTGACAGAAGCAAGGTTCTCACCTTTGTGAAAATGTCGTACTTTTTATATATTTATTAAATGTAATTAACGCCGGCCATGTCTTTTTACTATTTTTTTATTCAAGATGTTTGTATTTATATAGGGGGTGTGCCAGGACTAAAAATCCAGTTTGACTTAAGAAGGGATTAGAGATTAGAAGTTTTACTAATCGGTACAAGACAATAGCTAAATAACAAAGCAACTCTACCACTCTAGAGGACCTAAGAATGAATCCGGACAGGTCAAAGAAAATCAGGAATTTTTCAGGGAGGCCTGTTCCAGATATGTTGGGTTCCGTTCTTCACTATCCAGCTACCTCATCATAGGCCTAGCCAAATCCACGATGGATAGTGATTAATTAAAATGGCCTTTTTAGTGTCCACAGGGCAGCGTCCCAAAAAAAATCCATAGAAAGAAAATTGATAGCAAATTTACCTCATTTCCATTCTTTTCATGAATTACATTTTTTTATTTTTCTTTAGAAACTCATTCTGATTTTTTTAAAGTATTTGATTCTGTCCCTGATTAATTTGAGCAAACATTTGTCATGTGAATTTTGAGGATGATTCTGAACCTTGTCAGAAACAAAGTTCAAATTCAAGATCCAAAAGCAGCATCAATACATGTGGAAGCAATTTTACTTTAAGATTCCATTGAAAACAAATATTTTACAATTTATCCAAGTTAAATTCCAATCTACATAACCAAAAATCTCTTCTGTTTCCACACTGGATGAGTGGAAACAGATAAATGGCTTACAGTAAATTTTAACATTGAAATTTGCTTTGTTCTAAAGAATTTTTTCCATTTAGCTAAGTATTCAGTTTATTCAGATTTTGTTTTAGATAAGTTTTACTGTATTTGATAATTCAAAGTTTAACATAAAGAAGTTATTCACCTCTTGCTGGTGGTCCTGTACTGACTAAACCAACTCGTCGACGTAATGGTTTCTTTACTAACTGATCAAGTATTATTTTAGCTCCTGGAAAATCAGCAGTTTTTCTACGTCTTTTGCCTATTTATAAATTTTTAAAAAATTTAATCTTATTGAAATATTGAAATTATACTTAAATAAGTTGCATACCAATAGTCCAAGTTAAGCCAGCCTCAACAGGCGTTGTTGTTTCATCAATATCAGAACCATATAAACACAATCCAGCTTCTAATCTCAGAGTATCTCTAGCACCCAAACCAGCCAATTTAACATCATCTTTTGATGCAAGTAATTCTTTGATTATTCTTTCTGCAGTTTTAGCCAGAAGAGATATCTATTAGAAAATCAACAATTTTAAATTAGGAAGATTACAGAAAGTAAATCCTTTAGATCACCTCAACTCCATCTTCTCCGGTATATCCACAACGAGTAATACGACAATTAGATTCACCAGATATTGATGCTAGTGTTGATCTCATGAAGAATAATTTGGCAAGATTCTTATCAACAAATGGCTGAAGAATCTTTTGCATTCCAGGCCCTGTATGAAACAAAAAATATATAGTTAATCTTTAAAAACGAATCTTTTACAGAAAAATGAATCATACAGGAAAGTCTATATCACATCTAACAGTTTAAAGAGAACTTTAAAATAGTTTATACCAACAAAATTTATTCAAAATGAGATCATTTACATCAGTGATTCCCAACTAGGGATAACTGCTTAATGGTTTAGGGGTACAAGAAAAAAAAATAGTACGAGTAGCCCTCAGTTTATGCCAGCTCAATTTACACCAATTCACAATAACGCCGCTGGCAATTCACCATTTCGCCATGTAATTCCCCAATTCTTCTTATTTTTCGTTTCATTGTTGACATTGTATATTCATTAAAACAAAGATTTTTATTAAATATATTTATTTTTTCTGTTTAATATTGTTGGGTATGTATACATTTACATTAAATTAATATTAAAATACTAAATGTTTAAGAACCCATGTATACAAGAATAAAAGAGGATTATTATGTCAGATAAAAGAAGTGTACCAGAGTTATCTAAACATGTTTAGAAGGTATGGCAATCTATCCCCCTAGAAACAAAAGTGGAAGTTATTCGACGAATGGAAAATGGACAAATGTATGTAGATCTTTGAACTAACCTCCATCAACTGTTACTACCATTATGAAAAATGCAGATAAAATTAAACACTCTGCTCAGCAGTCTACGGCAGTAAATGTAAAACATGTGAGTTATAGTAAAAGTTTTGAAAAAATGGAAAAATTATTAAATGGGTGGATGATGCAAATAAAAAAAAAAAACACATTCCCTTGACTCAAGCTGCTAAACTAAAAAAGCAAAATCAATTTTTGATAATCTTAAGGAGACGGATGGAGTCAAAGAAACTTTTTGGGGAAGCAAGGGTTGGTTTATGAGATTTAAATCCTGAAGTAACTGTCATAGTGTAAAATTATGTGGTAAAGCAGCAAGTGCAGATGTTGTGGCGGCAGCTGTTTTTCCTAAGGAATTTCAGGGTTATGTAGAACAAGGCAATTATTCTCCAGACCTAATCTTTAACATTGATGAGATTGGGCTTTGTTGGAAAAAGTTACCAGCACAAACTTTTATTTCTTGTGAAAAATGTTCCCGCTACAGGTTTTAAAGTTGCAAAAGATTGATTAACTTTTTTGTTGGGAGCCAATGTTTCAGGAATTTTGAAACTTAAACTGATGTTAATGTTATCATTCACAGACACCACGTGCTTTAAAGAGTCTAAATGAAGACATGTTGCCAGTTTATTAGAGATGGAACAAGAAAGTTGGGTCACACAAGATGTTTTCACAGATTGGTACACAAATTGTTTTTGCCCTACTGTGCTTCGCTTTTGTGAACAAAATAAATTACCATCCAAGGCACTTCTCTTTGACGATGCTCCAGGCATCCTGAAAACCTTGATGAAATAAGAACACCATTGGATGTGTAGGTTGTTTATATGCTTCCCAATATAACATCTCTTTTGCAACCAATGGATCAGGGGTTATTGCAACCTTCAAAGCTTATTATCTCCATAATACATTCATGGAGAGTTTTAGACACTTCAGACAAAACAGTTATACTATTGGCGGTCTTTCAATATTTTGAAAGGTATTAAAAACATCAAGTCGGCTTGGAATGAAGTTTCAGCAAAATGCTTAAATGGAGTTTGGCGTAAACTTCTGCCAGCATTCATGCACGAGTTTGAAGAAGTAGCACATCAGAAGAATTTAATTGAAGACATTACCAGACTTGCACGTGATGTGGGATTGGAAGATGTGACAGATCTTTCAGAAACCCATGATCAGCCACTCTCGAATGAAGACTTAGAAGAATTATACAAAAAATTAGATTGTGAACAGTCAGAGAAGGAAGACAACAAAGAAAAAACTCCAAGAGTTATGAAAACGGTCGATCTAAAGCATATCCTTTCAATTATGGAAAGTTTGATGGATGAACTTTGAAAGTTAGACAATGATTGGGAGCAAAGTGCAAATGTAAAAAGGAGCATCATCGCATCCATTCGACCATATTTTGAAATTCTTAATAAAAGAAAACAAAAATCTAAACAATTAAAGTTAGATACTTTTTTCCAAAAAATGTAAGCGATCCAAAACTTGAAATATTTGTTTTTCTTAAGATTTTTTAATAAAAACATTTCACTTTATTTTATCATAAAATACATTATAAATATTAAATTTATAATATATGTATTTTGTATTATATTGTACTAATAAACAAAATTATTTGCTTATTTTTCACTTATGTAGAACCTAACCCTATACCTCAATGTAAATATGGGTTCATTTTATGCCGATTCAATTTGCGCCGGCTTTTGTAGAACTGCAGCGTAAACTGAGGGTTACCTGTAATAGCAAATGTATTATAAGAATATTCAAATTCTGTGTTGAGGCCTTTGGCATGGCACGGCACTCGATGCTTAGTTTTAAATAAAAATATAATTACATTTTTTATTACATTTATCTGTGTCCTTCCTCCAACACTTTTTGATTAAAAAAAATTCTTTAACATATAAATGTACAGTGTTGTATAATTGACTAAGACACTACTGTTTGAAGATCATGCAAAATAAAATTTAGGAAAATTCGAGGGTCGGACCGAATAAAATAAAATTAAATAA